TCATGCAGGGCCATTTTTATTTATACCTTCACTACAGTGATGAACTGGTCAGTTTTGTTCAATGGTTCCATCCAGTTTTTAGCCTAAGAGAAGAACCTAAATAAATAAAAAATATTAAATAAAAATATTAAAATAAAAATTTATTAAAAAAAATAAAAAATAAAAAAAAATTTATGTTGGCTTACCTTTGCCGTAGTGACGAAAGACCCAAGTTAAACCTAAATAAATAAAAAATAAAAAATAAAGTTATGTCAGCTTACCTTTACCACGGTAATGAACTAGACGATTCTGTTCAAAAATTCCATCCTATTCTTAACTTAAGTGGAGGAACAGATTCAATCTAAAAAAAATATAAATATTAATAAAAATATAAACTAAAAAAAAATCAAATCAAATTAAATTGACGGCTTACCTTCGCTGTGGTGATAGTAATTTATTAATAATTATTTAATTTTTATAAATTGATTTTTTTAATTAAATTTTTAAATTTATTTCTAATTTTTAATTTGTTTATTTATTAATTTAAATGTAATTGTTAAAAACCTGAGATTATAAAAAAAATTAAAAAAATAAAAAAATTATCTTTTAATTATTATTTCTAATATAATATTTTTTTACAGTAATTTAAAATTAATATTTTATCTTAATTTAATTTTTTAATTTAATTTTTTTAATTAATTTTTTTATACTAAAATTTTTTTTAATTATTTTATTGATTTTTAATTCTATCCTCTACAATTTGATTTTTTTCAACTTTAATTTAATTTTTAATTACTCGCCATTTTTTTTTTGTTTTTTTTCATTTTATAATGCACACATTCTAATATTTAATTCCATATTTATTTAATTATTTTTTAATTTGCATGTATATTTAATTTGATTATTTTATTTTATATTTTGGATTTAATTTTTAGGATCTTTCAAGCATTTATTCAATGAATTGATCAATTATATTTGATTAATTGAATTGAAATCAAAAATTATTGAATCTTGAAAAATGATAATTGATTCTCAAATCAATTTGAATTCTTACATTATAGCATCGAAAACACTAAAACCTATTTATTAAAAAATACTACTTATGTTGTACTATCAAACACAAAAAAATGTTTCATAATTATTTTTTTAAAAAATGAAACTGCTCTTTAAAGAATTAATATAAAGAAGTACCAATAAAGCATTACTCTTAAGTTCTCTATCTAAAAAACTAGTGATCCAAATAAAAAAAAGATAGAAACAAAAAAAAGTAAAAAGATAAAAAATAAAATAAAAAGTATTACTTACTACAATGGTATATACAAGTAAAATTAATAATGATATTTATAAAATTAAAATTCTTGTTAGTCTGAAATGAAGTGAAGGACTATATATGTCTATGCAAAGTGTCTTGATGTCTGCTCGCTCAATCTGTGAGTAGATGCTATGTGATTCGTTTCTACTGAATCATGAAATCGACAAAAATAGAAATACGACATACATGTATTTAATTAAAAAAAAATAATAAACAAATTTTAAACTTTTTGAAAAACAAAAAAAAAATTATATACTTTTTAATTTATCTGTTCTTTGGTTATTATATATCAAAAAAAATAAACTTCTCGTTGCACAACAAAATATACCGCTAAATCTATCATTACTAAATGTGCAAAAAAAACCCCCTTTTCGTACGATTTGTTTTTTTTTCCTTGTACCAATGTACAAATCCTGTTCTTAAGATATTAAAAAAAGTAGGCGCTCTTCTTCGTCTTTTCTTTCTTAAAGTCTTTTGCAAGCTTTTATTCGTTAAAGCCTGTCAAAGGTAAACTGCTTAAAGAAAATATCTCTAAGAGAACAGACCCTCGATACCACAACAAACGAAAGATTCACTGCAAATTCTCGACTCCTGAGATTTATTTTAGTTCTTACTAAAGTGAATCCCTGACTCTTGTGAACTATTATTGCCTATGCAGGGCCATTTTTATTTATACCTTCACTACAGTGATGAACTGGTCAGTTTTGTTCAATGGTTCCATCCAGTTTTTAGCCTAAGAGAAGAACCTAAATAAATAAAAAATATTAAATAAAAATATTAAAATAAAAATTTATTAAAAAAAATAAAAAATAAAAAAAAATTTATGTTGGCTTACCTTTGCCGTAGTGACGAAAGACCCAAGTTAAACCTAAATAAATAAAAAATAAAAAATAAAGTTATGTCAGCTTACCTTTACCACGGTAATGAACTAGACGATTCTGTTCAAAAATTCCATCCTATTCTTAACTTAAGTGGAGGAACAGATTCAATCTAAAAAAAATATAAATATTAATAAAAATATAAACTAAAAAAAAATCAAATCAAATTAAATTGACGGCTTACCTTCGCTGTGGTGATAGTAATTTATTAATAATTATTTAATTTTTATAAATTGATTTTTTTAATTAAATTTTTAAATTTATTTCTAATTTTTAATTTGTTTATTTATTAATTTAAATGTAATTGTTAAAAACCTGAGATTATAAAAAAAATTAAAAAAATAAAAAAATTATCTTTTAATTATTATTTCTAATATAATATTTTTTTACAGTAATTTAAAATTAATATTTTATCTTAATTTAATTTTTTAATTTAATTTTTTTAATTAATTTTTTTATACTAAAATTTTTTTTAATTATTTTATTGATTTTTAATTCTATCCTCTACAATTTGATTTTTTTCAACTTTAATTTAATTTTTAATTACTCGCCATTTTTTTTTTGTTTTTTTTCATTTTATAATGCACACATTCTAATATTTAATTCCATATTTATTTAATTATTTTTTAATTTGCATGTATATTTAATTTGATTATTTTATTTTATATTTTGGATTTAATTTTTAGGATCTTTCAAGCATTTATTCAATGAATTGATCAATTATATTCGATTAATCAAATTGAAATCAAAAATCATTGAATCTTGAGAAATGATAATTGATTCTCAAATCAATTCGAATTCTTACATTATAGCATCGAAAATACCAAAACCTATTTATTAAAAATACTGATTATATTGTACTATCAAACACAAAAAAATGTTTTATAATTATTTTTTTAAAAAATGAAACTGCTCTTTAAAGAATTAATATAAAGAAATATTAATAAAGCATTACTTTTAAGTTTTCTATCTAAAAAACTAGTTATTTAAATAAAAAAAGATAGAAACAAAAAAAAGTAAAAAGCTAAAAAATAAAATAAAAAGTATTACTACAATGGTATATACAAGTAAAATTAATAATGATATTTATAAAAATTTAATATAATACATGTGTCACTTTTAAATATTAAGGCTGATCCCTGGGCTGACTAAGATCATGAATCTAGTTTCTTGTAATATAATCAATCTGTTAAAATCTGATTCATTTATAATTCACTTTTATCTGATATGTAACGTTTATCAAAAACCTTTTAGCTATTTCTCTGAATAAGTACTGCAGAAAAAATATCATTTTCTGCAACTAAAATTGTACTAGAAGGATCTAACTCTTAACTAGAGCTAACTAATCAATTTTTATACATATTCCTTTTATATTTAGGTTAAATAAATATGAAAAAAATATATCACCTTAAATTTAGGTATTTTTTTTATTTCAGATTTTCATACTTTACAGAAACCCGTGATTTTTAATTAAATTGTTACGTGATTAATTAAAATTTGTCACAAATTAGTTTCAATCTTGTAATTGCATATTTTTTTAACAAAGTCATAAAAAATTAATAATAATTCAATTAAATTAGTTGCAAAATTTGTAATAACTTATTATAAATGTTTTAAAATTTTTTTATCAATGTTGAAAATTAGTTGAATAAAGTAATCTTAAAAATTTATGCGAAGTTTTGGCAAGTACTTGTAAATGAATTTAAAATGAAAAATTACTAAATACTAATACAAATAATAAATTAACACTTTAATAAATGTAAAATAAAACTTAATAAAATTTTAATAATAAATTTTTCGAAAATAATTATAAATAAATGCATTTTTGATAAAATTAAAAATTTTAATTTTATAAAAAAATTTTAATAGGTAAATTTTTTTGCTAAATAAAATTTAAAATCAATAAATACCAACTAAATACAATTTAATATTAATAAAAAAAAAGTAATTTATAACTATAAATTACTGGCGAAATTTTTATCATTTCGTAATAGAACTATGATGCTTTTTGTTAAAGTATCTAAAGTTTTGATCTTTTTGGTATCTTTTGATGAATAATTAATAGCAAATGCATGCTAAATAAATTTATATAAATAAGGCATGGAATATTAAGCGTATAATTCATTCATATTAGTAGCTTTTAATCACTGATTTAGCATGCAAACTGTTTCATTCTCATCAATGAAAGTAATAATTTCTTCTTTTTGTAAAGGCTCATTGTAGGTCTATAATTAATTAAATTATTATTAATTTCAATAAAAAAAAGAATATTTATTTGATATTTAACACTAACAATCTTCTTTTTTCTTGAACAATCTAACCGAATCTTCAACACTGTTAACTAACTTATTACAGAAATTACTGAAGTGCCTATTTGCTGTTTAAATCTATTCAATACCTTCGGTATTGTTGAGATCACACTTTATAACATTTCTTATCAATTCTTTAAGTATACTTTTCTGGGAATTCTGAATGCGAAGGAAAAAATATTTTAATTCTTTATGATAAGCCTTCGCCTTATTATCTTATTTTTGTGATAAAGTAACTCTAGAAGATATGAATAATGATACTTTTACAGCTGGTATCAGCATTGATAAATGTATATTATTTGCTAGCTGTAAAATATTAGAGATTATACAAAATTATGAATAAAGTTGATAAATTATCATTTCATCAAATGATAATGCTATATTGAAATTTGTCATATTTTGAGTAAAAATAAACATATTATTAAAAATGATCAATATATTATCTTTTAATTTTAAAGGTATCGATTTCATCAGTCTTGAAAGTAATGATATTTATTACTTGATTCTAGAGCCATTGATAGTTTATTTGAAGAAAAAATCATCAATTAGACTATTTGCTCTTGAATCAACCGTTGACATCATTCTTGATTGAATAGTTGTATTTAAAGTAAAATCTTGAAATTTAGATTCTGACTTTAGGATTGATATTAATCTTGAGTCTCGTCCTATTTCTAAAGAGCTCTGTTGTAAAATTTCTTCATCATTGCTATCATTAAAATTGGTATTATTATTTTATAATTAACACCATCATCTTTTAAGAGTTCAGCAATAATTTGTGACGATAAAAGATCAATTATTTGATAAAATTAAAAGAAAAAATAATTAAAAAATAATTAAATGATTATCATTATTGTTATTAAACTTTATACTTTTAAATTAAATTACAAATTTGGTTATTACTTTTATAATTTTTATTTGTTCAAAATGCTTAATAATAGCCAACTGCAGGAAACCTTAACATGTAATAGTAAAGAATCTATTATATAAAAATTAAAAATAAATACGAATTATAAATAAATTATAATATTAAATTAGTCAAATAAACTTTTTAATTATTCACTTATATTAAAAAAATTCCATAAACAAATTTATTTATAAATGATTACTAAAATTAGTTTAGTACTTATATAATTTATAAATTTTATAATATAAATTGTTAAAGTTGACTAACAATTATAATTTGAAGTCAATTTTATGTAATAATATAAAAAAGGTTATTTATTTTTAAAATTTAACTATATAAATAAATTATAAATAAACTTTATTTTTTTTTTTTACGATTTGCAACCTTTTTTTCCTAAAAAAAATGTTTCATAACTGTTATATCTCATATAATTATCTACAAAATTATATAAGATATCCACATAATAAATTATTAAATATTAAAGATAATGAAAGGAATCTTAAAATTAATAGTAAATATATTACATTTATATAATGAATTATAAAGATAACTATTGATATATTTAATAATAAATTTGTTAAATAGATTGTAAATACAGGTGTAGGGATAAAAAAAATGGTGCATCGCATATTCAATAATATTGTATTACAAATAAATCAGAAAAATGTAGAACTCGATTTGTTAAAATGATATATAATATTGTTTGCAATATGGCATTTTCTTGATAGATTTATTGATTTTTAATATTCTTCTACAAATAATGCTTTAAAACCCTTTTACATTACTAAAACGGTTGATAAATAGTATATTATTAAAAAAACTTTTGATGATCCTGATTGTGAAAATATAAATGAAGGTTTCTTACAATTTACATATGAACTGGTATTCTTAAAATCTTAATTAATAAATATTTTGCTTATATTATTAGTAAATAGCCTTGAAGAAAAATATATCAAGATGAAAAGTTGAAGAATTTTACCAGTTGATTATGATTTTTATGTTGTAACAGGATTGGATTGATGAACATGATGCAGCATATTGCAGATATAAATGTTAGATATATCAGACATAATTGATATATTTGATATATTTGATATACTGAACATATTTGATATAATTGATATCTTTGACATATCAGACATATTAGATATATTTGATTTATTTGTTATATCCATCTATGTATTAATTAAATATAAATAGAAAGCAATAGAATCATATAAACGGTAATTCACTTTAGTTTATTTTTTAGTTTTCTTTTAGTTTTACTTTTAGATACATATCTAGTAATTCTTGTAAAGGTGCCTGGCCTAACATCTCACTTAGTACTTTAACTCTTTTGATTTCTTTTATTCTTTCTTATTTTTTTATTATATATATATATTATTATCTCTTATTTTATTTTTTTTATCGTTAATAAATATATTATTATACTTCTGAATCAATTGAGCTGCCTTACTTCTAGACTTGTCGTAAATATACTATCGTGTAGATTATAAATCTTGAGTAAATTGAATTGAGTTACTACGTAAACTTAAAAGAATTACCACTCGAAAACCCCATCTAATAGTCACAATTCGCAAGAATTGCATATTAATATTTAGCGACGATAACAGGACCTCCTTTTCTTATTTACGTAATACTATGAGAAATACCCTATGAATAACTTTAGAGAATTGATAAAATACCAAAGAACTCATTCTTTTATACACAACAAATCAGAGCGTAACTTTGGAAAAGCTGCTACTTCTGTTCTAACTAACGATCCATCTTGTATTACTTGTAACCCACCTCTAAAGGAAATTTCTCAATTTTTTCTTAATTTTTTTGAGTGGACACAGAAAGTCTTAGAGGCAATATTATATACTAGCAAGAGTTTAGAAGCCTTTCAAATTGCGATCTCTGCAAAAACTACTGGTGTACAAGAAATATATTACCAACAGACACTTAAAACTTTAAAATATAAGGAAGTATTAATACCAACCTTTGAGCGAGCAGTTGAATACTATTTTTGAGCTCAAACTAAAACTGAATTATTCCAGAAGAAATACCAAAGCGATTTACTTAATTACCTTAATATATCTCTTTTAAGTATAAGTCGTAATTTCTCTCCGTCTAGAATGATAAAATCCCAAACAAGCTGTAGAAATAGTGCTACATCTGAATCAGTAAAAGAAAATCTGATTTCTCAGATAAGTTATCCACCTGAGAATACTATCATTGCAGATGTTACTCCAAGTGGAAAGGATCCTGAAAAATGAACGCTAAGCTTTGATAACTCTACTTTTAGCCCATATCGAGAAACTGGAAAGTCACCTAAACTAACCTATACGAAATCTTCTGATGAGGAAGACATCACTGCTGATCAAAAGGGTGTTCGCTCCTCACGCTCCTCTAGATCACAAACTGATCATTCACGAGACTCGCATGAAAATAGAAGACCAAAAGACAAGAAAAATAGTAAACCAAAGAGCCATCGCTCTTCTTACTATTATGATAGCTCTTCACCTTCTTCTAGTTCTAATTCTGAAGATAGTAATTCAGAGAGTGATGATGAAGATCCTTTTGATACTGATAATGCTAAAGATAATGATGAAAGACATTTTTTTCAGATGATGAAAGGCCTCCAGACTGTCTTTAAAAATGTTGGATTTGGTGGATCACAAGAAGCTAAGTTCATAGATTTACCAACATTTAAGGGTGGAGATCAAGACCCTAGAGAATGGTTAGAACGATATAACTATGCTGGAGATGCAAATGGAATTTTGGACAAGCGATGCCTTATATTAGTCCCGTTATTTCTAAAAGGATTAGCCCTTACTCGGTATAACAAAACTAAGAATGAAAAAGATTTGTGATATTGAGATAACTCTTGCGATCGATAACATAAATACTGATCCTTTATTTATCACTTCCTGAAGCATTATTGCATAACACACAGGAGGACCCAATGGCGTTCTACACTTAGGCGATATAAGCAATACCCTGGACAATCAGTAGAAGACTATGTTGCAGATATTGAATCACTATACCTCAAACTTGACTCAGATTATAACACGTCAGAAGACGAGAAAATTGAACAGTTCTTGCAAGGACTTCGACCTGAGTTTTTAACCACAGTAGCTGCTGCTGCACCTCATAATTTAGAAGAAGCAATTGATCGAGCTCAAGCTATCAAAGCTGTTCTCTCTAAAGATAGCGTTTTATCAGAATATTCTCTTAGTAAAACCTATTTAAATCAACATGATGAGGAAACAGAACAAGAAAAGATTCCTAACATGTAACAATTAATTAAGAAAAGTAATGAAAAACTGATGAAGGAAGTTAAACAACTATTAAATATTACCACCACTAACTCACGAAATGATAGTCACAGTCATCCAGCACACAATAATGCCAATTGGAGAAATAGTAATAATAATGGTAATCAAGTATGTTACAATTGCAACTGACCTAAACACATTGCTAAAAATTGTAAAGCACGAAATAATCAAGGTGGTAGTCGAAATAACTTCCAATAGAATAAGAATAATACATATCATAATGAGAATAGGTATTTTACCTGTAAATGAAGGAGACACATAGCTAAAAATTGTAATACCATACCTACTGGACCTTGCCTACACTGTCACCAGCTTGGACATTGGGAAAACTTATGTCCAACAAAACTAACACCAAATTTCCATAATAGTTAACCACAATCTGGTAAAACAGTTCAACGAGCTGCTTTATTACAAGGAAGTTCTATGTACAATACTCCAAATACGTTTCTACCACTTCCTTCTTCACAACCTTCTACGACGTTTTCTTTTAATAATACTTTTACCACTACTAGCAACCCTTTTAATCCATCGAATCAATCTTTAAATTACTAAGGGTACCTCTAGAGGGTGAGAGTACCAGTTATTATTTGAATCCCTCAAATGAAATTAATATATCTAAGGCTGTAGAAGCTATTTACTGTTATGCCTTTGTAGATGGTAAACCTATTTATTTGATCCTAGATTCAGGATCTGTTGGAAGTGTTATGTCAAAAAGTTTCTTACAACAACTATACAGAAAAATCTAAGGTCTATCAATGATTACTATAATTAATATATAAGGAGAACGCTCACGACTATTGGGAAAAGTCACTAATATTTCAATTCAAATTAATGATGTAGAGATTCTCATTGATGTCGATATAACGGAGTCTAATGATTACTATATTGTAGCTGAAAACGATTGGTTAACAAAATGTCATGGATGACTTTATTGGAACTGTCAAAAATTTATTTTTCAATGGAATCAAAAAGAACATCAGGTCCCTATGACTTGTTGGGAAAAACCTCTGTTCGACAAGTTTCAACAACCTATTCCAATTTTCACAGGCTCTATGAATGACGAATATGAAGATAAAAATTTAGCTATACAACGACACTACATGATATTAGGAAATAATGAAGAAGAACCTATCTTAGCTACATAACTCTAGACAAGTGATAGTTCAAAAACAAACATATTCACCACAATATCTTGAGAGTCTTAATCAAAAATTCAAATGTCAACCACCTGAAAGTTCAAAGTAGAATACCATTAGCAAGGCTTAGGAAGTAGATGTTAGTGTCATAAATGACTTGATCAAGCCGAAGATACCTGCCTTTTATGCTAGAAAGAATAGAAACATTGGCAGTTATTACAAAATATCCTTAAGGAAGAATTGGCTAAAATCAATTCATATACTCATTTAGATCAAAGACAACAAAAAGAATTACAGCAGTTCTTGCAGGCCAATACTAAGGTATTTGCTAATGATTTATCACAATTAGGTTATACTGCTATTGAGAAACATCACATTCCAATAAAGAATCCTCTTCTAATATGACAACAAGCATATCGAATTGCACCTTTAGAACAGGAATTCATTAAAGAAGAAATTAATTGAATGTTGAAATATAATCTCATCCAACCATCTGAAAGTCCTTGGGCTTTATCTGTTGTTTTATTACAAAAGAAAAATAGAAGCTTACGTTTTTATATTGATTATTGAAAATTAAACAGTATCACCAGGAGAGACAGAT